GGGCAGCAGGGCCGGCCGGCGCTGACGCGCTCCGCCGCTTGCCTTGCAGAGGATCGGGCTGCAGCTCCGCGCCACGCTGGAGAACATCACCCGGCTGCGGGCCGAGGGCGAGGACTTCCGATGGTACCTCAAGGTGCGGGACAGCGGGGCCGGGGCCGGGAGCGGCGCATGTCCCTGATTATTGACGGCTTTCAACCTTCCCATTTGTGTTCTCCAGCTGAAATGTGGGAACTGCGGTGAAGTCTCCGAAAAGTGGCAGTACCTGCGGCTCATGGTGCGTGTGCCCCTCGTAACCTACCTCTGAGAAAAAATGAGAGCACAAACCTGCCTCTACACACGTATCCGCATCGAGGATGTGACAGCTCCCCCTCTAGATGGATCGTTTTTCAAGAGCTATATGCATTTAGAAAATTGTCACGTTCCATATTAAAAGAAATATTGGAGATTGTTAATTGACATATGCCATTTGAATAGTGACTGTTGGTAACAAACTATTACATCTGCTTTTAAAACACCTTTCTGTAAAAATTTAATTTAAAAAGAAATTTTGAAGTGGTATCAAAATACGGTTGTGCCTGTAGTATATTTCTCTGATGCCGATGGAATCCTTTTGGAGAATGTTAGGTAAATGAAGATCATTTAAGCATGTTAAATCAGCATTTGGAAGCTGAAAAAGCAGGATAAAATTTGTCAGGGATACTGTTCTTGGTAATAATCATCCCTTTTTATTGCATACAGCTGAATGGTAAGAATGTATTTTGAAGATTTAATAGAGCATGCCTATATGGATAAGACACAAATATATATTATTCCCTATTTAAACTCTGGAACGGAATTATTCTTTGGTAATTACATCTTGTTAAATTACTAATCTCTGCAGTTTAAAAAAAAAAGATGACTTGTTACAGTATTTTTAAAAAAGCTAAAGGTTGTTGTAAAAACTGCCTTACCTTTGCAGAGGTTTCCAGAGGCTGAAGTGGTTAAAAATGTCTTTCTTGTCTTGGATTTTAGGACAGTGCTCCCCTGAAAGGCGGCCGAGGAAGCGCCACGATGGTGCAGAAGTGCAAGCTGTGCTCCAGGGAGAGCTCCATCGGTACGTGCTTGGCCGCTGACCCGGAACCATCCGTTTCACAGTTTCCATTTTAGTCCCCATTTTTGCTTGACCCCGTTTGTAAAGAGCTTTCACCAGGGATTTCTGCCCTTGTACACTGGTGCTGGAATTCCCAACAGGCACATTGTGGACATCACGTTCAGGGAGACTCACCTCCTGGTGAGTCCAGCCTTCTGCATGAACAAAACTCATCTGTATTGTTATTTTACAAAAGCATGCAAATCTTTTTGGCATTGGTATGGAAAAATTGTGCAGTGTAAACTCAGGAGAAGGGAGAAAAATGTAATTCTGCCTTTTGAAGATGAGCTGCAGGAAAACCTTGCATTTCTTGCATTTCTTTTGTTTTGTGTAAGGAAGTTGTTGTGAAAGAAGATCCTGGTCCTTGGTTTGTGCTGAACAAAACTGAAGACATAGTGCCACTCACTTGTTTACTTTTTTTTTTTTTTGTTTTAGATATTTTAAGTCAGACAATCAAGCCGTACAATGTAAGTTTGTTTCCTCTTCTATGTAACAAGTGAAAGATATACAAGCATTAACAGTATTTTGAGTTTTTGCTTTACCATCCTCCTTCAAGAACACAAAAAGCTGGTCCTACCCTTGGACAGAAATAGTCTTGTAAACTCCTGAGCAGTCTCAAGTGTAGAATAATCTGATACGTTTCAAAAGGCAACACAGAACTGTATCATCCAAATTAGAGGTATTTTATATATATATATATATATAATGCCTCTCTAGGTCTCCTTTCAAAGACTTCCTCATGGCAGACTAAGAAATTCTAGTTAGGTAGTTAGGGACCACCTATGAAATGAGCCATAGGATTTTGCTAGCACCTGGGTCATCAGAGATGACAGTGCTGCCTTTAAAGCAATCCATGCCTAGACTAATGCTTGTCACTGTCTCTATTTGATGGAAATTAATGGTTTTCTGACTCAATCACAGGCTGAAGACAGCGAGAAATTCAAAACTATTGTGGAGTTTGAATGCCGAGGTCTGGAACCAGTTGATTTTCAACCACAGGTGAGTTCTTATTTATGATTCGTTTCTGTCTTTAAAAGCTCTTCTAGAGTGATAAAATACACACTATTTGAAATGGTTCTGGAACATCTTAGACCTTCCCAGATTCCCAACCTTCCACAGTTCCTTGTTCTACTACATTTGATTAAAAAAAAAAAAAAAACCAAAAAAAACCAAATACTTGGGAACAGCTAACACCGACAATTGGTATTCTCTGTGCCAGTAAAATCTAAAACTAAGCACACCTTGGAGTTGTACTTAAACTGCCTCAGAGGTGACTCAGTGTTAATCTGAATTCATCTCGTCAGGTCATTGCAAGAGTCTTTCCCAAAGGGAAAGTGCAGCATTATACAGAGCACCACTTGCTCCTTGGGGTGTTAGAGAGCTCATCAAGCTCAGGTTATGAACACACTTCAGTGTGTGTCCTCTAAAAAACAAACATTTTCATTGGGGTTGACATCACCAGAGCCACAGGAGATGAACACTGGCATTTTCCCATTTGCTGCTTGAGCAGACAAAGCTTGAAGATCACTGGCAGTTACAGGCTGGTGCAAAGCACACCTTAATGTTCAGAGTTAAAGGATTCTTCAGGGCCAGTCTGCAATGACTCATCTCTTGTGCATGGTCATGCTCTATTGCCACTTAACTCCCCGCTATTTTTAACCTATTATTCCAGTTGGATTAGGTGTAAATAGACTGACAAATATAAACCTGTCTTATCCTTCTCTCAGACTGGGATGCTGTGCTAAGAAACAGCCCAAAAAAGCTGATCCTACAAAGAATTTGATATAAATAGAATCTCTACAGCAGTGTGCTGGGGGAGGTCTTTATTTAAGTGAAGTCCATCTTTTTGATGAATGGTTATTCCTTCATTCCAGAATGTTTGTTAGTTTATTCCTGCTTGAAAGCTTTGCAACCAGACTTAGGAACTTGCTCTTAAAGAAAAATCGATGGGAAGACTACAAAATGTAGGAGATGTTTATAGCTCTGCATCTTAGCTGTCAACTTTAGTTACAGGACAAAGACTTCACAGCTGTAACAAAAGTTTTAATTTAATATTCTGAGTTTGGTGTGCTTGACTGGAGAGTACTTGAATCCCTGAGGAAGTATTTCAGTGAATTTTTGGATGCCTAAATCAGTAAATGAGAGTTTTCTGATGCTCAAAGGACTTCTGCAGTTCCGAAGCCTGGCTTCTGCACAAACCTAGATCTCACTTTTGATTAGCGCTAAACATGGCATGTAGCTATATAACCACTGTATTTTCTTTATATTTGAGTGTTAGAGATGAGAAAGTATCCTTTGTTTATCTAATATAAAGCCTCGTTTTAGACCTAGTGCAGAAGTTTGCAATTGCAGTCACATGGCTGGTGAATGGCCCCAGGTGGCAAAAGCAGGGCTCCTTTCATTTTGACCCACAATGCTGATCTTCCTCTCCACCCCAGCAGTTCCCTTGACATGGGTTTCTGACAGTTACTGAAAGTCCACTGTGCCCTGCAGATCCCTCTCCTGTTGTTAGGTTTGTTAGATTTACCATACTCTGTGGTTCATTTAACACCCAAGTGCTTAACCTTCCATTCAAATCCCCAAATATTTTCAAGTCTTGTGGCTTTGCATATGCTTAATGTCTGACTAGCTCTAATAGGGATTTCTTTATCCAAAATGCAAGTGCAGATCCCTTGCAGAACACCAGGAAGAAGCTGCCTTTGGTTTTTAGCCTCTTGTTAATAAAATTCTGTACTTAGAATTGACAAAGTAAGAAACCTTCCTGCATGCTACAGAAGTGTCTGGGGTTTTTAAATATAGTTTTA